CATTCGCCATGGGAATCCTGAGGAATCAACTTTAGCATGGAAGTTAGCAAAATCCAGTTTCTGAATGCCACCATGTTTTCCGCATCACAATATCATCCTTCTACAGCAGTTTACAAAGAGAACCCAAAGCTGATGTGGAAAAGCATCCTTTCAAGGAGGCAGATGGGGTGGAATCTAAACCTCATTTGCAAATGTCAGTGGATTATAACTTTAGACATTCAGGTTGGACCCCACGAGGATACAGTTCACACTACATCCACCACAGGTCACACACACGTCCACAATACACGAATAACACGTGTGCACTTGGATACTGGTCTTCATCCAGTGCTTCTAGATGAAGCAGCTGCCAATGTTCCCATAGAGAGAGAATGTTTTGACATTTTTAAAAAACTCTACAACAAAATGAAACAAAAAGATTCATCTTTCTTTTAAACCCAGTAATTTTTCATTATGCCAAAATGTATAAATAATCACTTTTAGTGCTCATTCAATGACTTAAGTCTTCTTCTAAAGACCTTATCAGTTTTGGCAAGGTGATTTTTTTTTCAGAACTTGGAAGGAGACTCAGAGCCTTCACACTGAACTACATCCCTACCCGACTCCTTTTTGACTCAGGATCTGGCTAAGTCACTACACTGCCTGGGCCAGGCATGAACTTGCATTTCTCCTGTCTCAGCCTTCCAGGGTGTTGGGATTACTGGTGTGTGCTGCCAGATTATTTTTTTTTACAAGTTTTTTAAAGCTACACAACACCCAAGATAATTCATTTGGCTCAGACCTCTCGATTTACAGAGCTCATCATTGGAGCAGAGCTCTAATAAAATTATTCTTAGTTTACACACAAGAAGTTTGTCACTCCACGTGCCTATAGCCCTGGAAAACCTCAGTAAGAGAGCAAACTTGCCAGTAAAATAAAAGGAAAAAATGTTTTAAAACATAGTGGCAAATAAAATTTTAAAAAATGATTACAAACAAGATCAGGTAAATCAAAGTAGCCAAGACCAGGGCTTTAAGAGGATACTAGATTAGGGTATGCCCTTCTTGGATTACCTTGGATAAGAAGAATGTAATCTGCTGGTCTTCTAGCTTCTCTGAACAGCTATGGAAATCAAGCCCTCATTCCCAATTTTTCTCTGTCACTATCTCACTGTGAATCTATAGTCATGGTCACCTGTAATTCCCAAAATGAACATCTACCATGGGTCAAGGTGTTGCACGTAATAGAACAGAACTTGGTTCTCAGAAGGTGTGGAGAATTTGAGGCACATCACTCATTCTAATATCTGCTTAGTTAACAAACCAGGTCTCCTGATTTCCAAAGGAAACAGGAAAGGGTTGTGATGAGAAAGCAATATAATCCATTTTGACCTAGCAGAGGTAAGTTCTGCAGCTGATCCCAATTATGATCACTTCTCATAAGTGATCGCACTTCTCATAAATTTGCTCTACACTCCGTATAACGTTAACTCCAAATTCTTCCCAAGGGAACTTTCTGCTGTACTCCTCTTTTGATTAAAATAAACCAGAGGGGCAAAATCCCATTCATTTTTAGAATCCCAGCCATGGAGTTACACAATGATTTCTTGTGAATCTATCTGAAGTTGTTCTTTCAATACCTCTACCTCCTGAGTCCCAAATTGCCTTGGCTTTCATACCCTTGGTTCTCCAGTTTTAGAAGATCTGGCACTTACACAATCAAAAGCCATTTAATTTGCTTACCCTTATTTATAAAGCAAGTTATGAAAACAATGGCGATGGGGGACGGGAGAGTCCTTCAAACACTTCCAATTTAAAGAAAAGCAGAGATGAAGCCCCAGGAGGAGGGACAGACTTATAAGGATGTGGAATTTCCTCCTGGGTAGTGGGAAGGAATTCATTGATTTAATTTATAACAATTAGAGGTTGCCTCTATGCAGAGAGTATTTTAAGCTCCAGCTGGCATGGGAATCATTTTCCCGAGGTATGCTCTGTACCCAAACACAAGGACACCTTCAGGAAGAGGAAAAGGAAGAAGTACAGTCTAGGAACCTAGGATGTGAATCAGGAAATTCTTTTGAACTGTGCTGATTTAAAAGAATAGCATGCTGGTGCCTAATAGATCCCGCTAGCTTTTTGGAGTTTCCTAGTGCTGCGAAGTTTTCCCTTACAAGAGTGATGCATTTTGCATAAAAAACATCCATATTATTCCTCAAAATAACCAAAATACCATTTCCTGGAGGGTTAGGAATTTCAATTATAAGTGTGAAACATACAGATCTATGTACTCCTCAACTCGCACTGAGCCTTCAAAAGCAAACTTCAAATGCAGATGCAAAATGAAAGGCTCCCCTCTCTCCAAAGCTGGTTCCTATTTATCCTTCCATTTCTTCAGAATAAACTCTTTGCTCTGTGTACATGCATTATTCATTTCTCATCCCTATGCCTTTGTTTACCCTGCCAGCAGTGTTTTTCTTCCCCTCCATAAATCCAAATGCTACTTCTCCTTTGAGGTAGTCCAGGATGGCTGGCTACCTTTCCACACCCCAATTGGAAGTTAATTTCTCACTTCTGTGAAGTTCAAAAGTATGTAATACACAACTCTTGTGGCAGTTACAGTTTTCTACTCTTTATTGTGTTGTAGGTACTTGTTTGTCTTTGGGAAGATCATGAGTGTCCTGTGGGAATGGTCCTTTGGTACCTAGCACAGTGCCACACATGTTGGGTGCTCTGTCCACACTAATAGCATGAACAAACCAGTGTGATCCTTTAATTAGAGTAACTTCCTGTAGCCAGGCATGGGGGTACACATCTATGGTCCCAGTTACTGGCGTGACTGAGACAGAAGGATTGCAAATTTGCGGCCAACCTGGACAACTTAGAACACTGCATGACCCTGTCTTAAAATAAGAGCGTCTGTGGATGTAGCTTAGTGCAAGGCCCTGGGTTCACCCACAAACATTGGTTTCCAACCCAAAGAATTTATACAAAGCAACTAGAAAGAAAGAAATATTCTTTACTTCTTGTCTAGAATAATTTCTAATGACAGGTATGTGTCTATTTGCAAATCTGCTACAATCAATTCAGTAATAGCATTGTTTTAAAAGCCTGTATCTCAACTAAAATAATATGTGATCTCCTGAAATAAAAATAGGCTGCTTGTCAATTTCCTGAATTCATCTCTCATCTGAAATTGCTGAACATGATAGAATGTAATTTTATATCATGCTAAAATGAATAGCATTTTGTAAATTCAAGTCATACTAATATTGCATTAGGAACAAGGCATTTGTTCTGAAATCACTACCAGCCATAATGGAAACCAGACACTAATGCTTTAAGAAGTAACTCACTGAAATTGAATGAAATAATCACTCAATCCATAAAGCATTTATAAGATTTACCATAAAGCACAGGTAATTTTTTTAACCAAAGAGAAATAATTCTTTCTTATTGCCCCAAACATCAAATGCCATCACATCATAAAAATAAAATATGGCACATGGATTATTCTATTTTGTTCATCCATTTGTTCATATACTACATATTCACTTTACAATAATGAAAACATTATGCTTGTTCATTATTATTTTTAATGTTGTTTAATCAACACGGCTCCATGTTTTTCCCTGGGGAGATCATTGCCACAAGCGAATTCATTTCAGACAGAAGTTGGAAAGGTCTGGGTTCTGCTATAGCTGCCGTTGCTGCCTACACACCCCCAACTCCATCCAATGTGATACAAAGACTCAGTTTGCCTTGAGGATAACATAGTTCTTAAAGGAAGGGGGCTTATGGCATCAACCAATGAGCTCGCTGGAAGGTCAGATCTGCTCTCTTGCCTCCATGTTGCTCCCAAGCCTTCCTCTTGCTTTCCTTTTGTCTTTCCCTCCTCCAACCGTCATACCCCTCTTATTGGCATTCAAATGATAAACAGCTGGAGTGGGTGGCTCAGGGGAGGAAAGCACCCCTATTCCTACCCTGGGCCACTATGGCAGAAAAGCACAAAAATTTGGAGTTTGAAAAAGTTGCCAGGTCATAATCACTCTTAAATTCCCAATCACAAAAAAGAGCAGTTGTAAGTAAAGTACAAACTGTACTTGAAGCCTTCTATCAAAGCACTGGTGTTTGCATAGTAGAGATGATTTGAAGCTGAAAGTACCCGAAGGTAGCACCTGCTAATTTCTGTTGTACTGAGGAATGCATCATCAGCAAATACCATCACATTCTGTGGATAAACTGACATCCCAGTATCTAGAGTAGTTTTTAAAACAATAGTTGTGAAGTCTACAAGATCAGGCTTACTGGTACCTGTGAAGGGGATCTTATGGAAATAGGATCTTTAAAGATATAATCAAGTTTAAAGTGAGATCAGAATGGAGTGAGTTAGCCTTAGTTCAATGACTTGTATCTTTATGAGAAAAAGGAAATTGGGACACAAACAGATACACATGGGGAGAATGACATGTGACAACAGAGGTGTAGATTAGAGTGCTGCAGCTGTAAGCCAAGGAAGTCCAAGGACTGCCTGCAGCCACCAGAAGGTGGCGAGAGGCAGGAAGGATCCTCCCCCAGAGCCTTCAGGGAATCCCCACCAAACACCTGGACATTGGACTTCTGGCATCCAGAACTGTGGGAAAATAAATTTCTGTTGTTTTATGCTGTCCATGTTTGTGGTAATTTGTTACTGCAGCCCTAGTAAACTAACAGAACACCTTATAAACAGTGCTTTTTTTGGCTGCTCTTTGTAAGGCTGATTAAAACCTATGGCATTAGGAATGCTATATGATACTGGATCCAGGGAGAGCAGTAAAGGAGTGGGGGAAGCAGCCCTAGACGGGGAGAGATTCTCTGAGGTTCTAGTTGTCTCCAATTTCAACCAGCTCGTATGTTTGGCTAGTGCAAAAGATTTAATTTTAAGAAAGAGTTCGGTTTTAAAATTAGAATGTATGAGTACATGAAAACCATGATATAGCAGTTTCCACATGAAATATGCCACTCAGAGACAGAGAGATCCTTACCTCAACATGCTGACAGGTTTGGATGAGCTTAGCCAAAAGGGTCTCCAGTTCTGTGTTCCTCTTAATAAGGTTGGTGAGGTTACTCTCTAAATTTTGCTGTGCAAAAAAGACAGGAAAAATTTTATTCTGTATGCTTTTCTACTTTAGTACACAAAAATTATTCATACCCAGGAAAAACAAAGGCACTTTTCAGACACCTCAATGATATCAATGCAACTTCAATTACTTATAGATTTAACCTGGAATTTCAAAAGTTACATTTCAAAGAACATTTTAGAAATATTCAAATTATATCTTTTTGTTCCTGCTCCTTGCACTAACTTACCTATAGCTAACTGAATACTTAGCTATCAATTACTGTTAGGTCATAAGCTAGGGAGAAAGCTAATAATTAGAATTCTATTCCTTCACCTGAATGAGAAATAACAATAATATGAGGAATATATACCCACATCAAATCAGCAACTATTGGATTTGTAAGATTTACCATTTCATGGTCAGGCTGAGGTTAATCTCTTGGAAGAAGGGTTGAACCGAGCAGATATTGCTGACAATATGGCCATTTATAGGCATTTATAAGAAGTCTTTGTTACAGACATTTACTCAGTCATACTACCTTCTTTGTCTATCAATGCTAGATCAAATTTCCTTGTACACTATATTTATATCACTATTCTGCTTAGTACTAAAGGATCCTTATTCCTTTAGAGCATCAAATTTAAGTTCCATGAATGAATATTTAAACATATTTTCAACCACAATAACCTTCTGATCTGGGTAAGACTCATTAAATTTGTGCACTTCTCCATTTCATGTGCCATGTGCCCTTCATGTAGTATTCCCTCCCTCCCTCCCTTCCTTCCTCTATTCATACAAGTACTTGTTAAGCTTCTAGTGTACGTCATACACTGGAGAAGTAAAAGTAAAAAGTACTGTTCACGGGGAGATGGCTGCGCAATGGGAGAGAGATGTTGTAAAGAGGGAAGGGGCGGGGAGCTCATAGCTGCCTGGAGGTTTCTAAGCAGACAGAATCCTTTAGCTGAGGCTGGAAGGAGGGGCAGGGAGTTTTTGTTGGACAAGAATGGGAATTTCTTGGGAGGATAAAATCCAGCGGAAACAAGCTTACAGGAGAGTCCTCCATGGGCAGGGAATAGATCAATGTCATGATACCATCAGGGAGGTATGAGAGGGCAAAGGATTAGAGAAACTATGTGTTTTACCATATAGATAGTTCCCCAAATAGAGCGAAGATATGGAACAGTGGGAAATTTCATGACAAAGCCAACAGATTTTAGATTTGTGATGCCATCTGAGACACGAGATTTGGGGGGTCGAGGGTGCTCAGTGGTACAGCACTTGCCCAGCATGCAAAAACCATGGGTTCCACCTCTCACATGCAAGACAAAAATAACAAAGAGATTTAGAAGAGATTTTGAAAAATAACAAATTCAGAAAGGTGATAATAGTTCATCATTTCATAGCATTTATAAAAAGTTTAGCTTGTTCTACTTTTCTAGATGTTTTTAATTGGAAAGGTGTATTAAGAGAAAAAAATCATTTTTTTGGTCTGATGCTTAAAATGAATGTGCCAGAAGCAGAAATCTCTGGTTATTCTGAAACAGGTTTATCTGGCATTTATTCTATTGCCTGGACTTTTAAATTTTCAATGACGGCATTTTCATTTCCAGTAGGTTCTTTATCACATTTCCCTTTTCTTGTTGAATTGCTTTCTGCTTTTATTCCAAAGGAGCAAGTTCTGTCTCATAATTTCAAGGGGCTTAATATTCACATTCTTAAACTATTTTGAGAAAGGGCAATTCCACATTGCCCTGGGTTTGCTTAATGTTTTGTAAGGATCTGATTTCATCTTGTGTCTTATAATTTTCTTGTGACAGTTCGTGTGATGTGACTTTTGTTCTCTGTGCTTTGATTTGGGAACTGATATGGCCCAGACAGGTGAGGTGCACACTCCAGGGTTGGGACTTGAGGTTCTTTTCCCCGAAGAGAGCACTCCCAAGAGACTCCCATGTACAACTGAAGCACAGATCCCGGTTTGGCTCAGTGCCACTGTTTCCTTCCATGAGAGCTCCATATCCGGTTTCAATTCCAGGAAAGGTGTAAGGCGTTTTTGAGTCCACGGCATACATGGGGGGAATCTACGCATCCAGCTACATGGGGCTTCTGCCACAGGCAGTGTCCCTGAGGTCCCCAGGGCTCCCTCTCATCTCCACTGCTTGGGAGCAGCTGTGCCTCAGTCTCCCCTCACCAATCTATTCTTTCTTCTATTTCTAATCTTTGGGGATTTTTCACCTATGCTTAAACTTGGTGTATTCTTTGAAATATTTTACCTATGATTCTCATGTATTCAGATTACAGAGAGATTTTGTAGCTATTTCATCCAAATTAGAATACCAACAAGAAATCTTCAATTTTGTTCTTGAAACAATCCAAACACCCCAAATATGACTATTTTAAAAAAGAAAAAAAAAAACTGTTTCTCACTTAAATTACGGGATACAAGGAAAAGCCAGAGAGTCGGAGAATAAGCCACACAGAACGATTTTACGTGCAAAGTAATGACGCCATATTTGCATCGAAGAAAAAATTGCTTTCAGACCTCTTAGCAACTCTGCCCCTCCCCTGGGAAAAAAAGTCAAAAGTTTTTCTACTGTTTAGATGAACTGAACTGCAGTTGGTAAGCATTTTATGGTCAGGGACTAGAGAATAATTCTGAGGGATTCCATTAGTCAGGGTCCTTGATTTAGATATGACTATTGTATGGTATATTTGTCAGCTTCTTCTTCTGCGTTAATCTTAGGGAATCCTTTTACTTTTCTTCTTGGCTGACCCTTCACAGCAGGGAATTTCTAGGGAAATACATCATCTAACTGTTTAGAATTCAACTGTCATAGGTATGATTTCTCTAAAACTAGTCAGTAACAGAGCCAAATCAATGCAATCCAACACATTTAGATTTTACAAACATCTGCCTGCTTTCCCTCCCTTTATTAAGCATACATCATATATAAATCTGTTTTTAATCAACTAATACATAGACTAAAGCCTGTGGTTCAAACACTTTGACTTATCCAGATCCCTTGGGGTTCTTCAAATTTAAATAGTATAAGTGTTACTGAAGTCCGCAAAGAATTATTGAGTCAGTTAGAAGTATAATAAAGGAAAATTAAGCTCGGAGAAAGACTAGTACCAAAGGGGTTGACAACACTTGGGAAGAGCACCTGGGTAATGGGAAGGTAACACAATCCAGACTTCAATAAGCCAGACATCCATACACTCCCACTACAGGCGCTTCTCTGGAGGTTTTTATGGAATTTCACTCTATCATTAACATATTGGTGGTGGAAAGCAGGGTCTTTAACCTCTTGGTTTTGACTGTGCATTGTGCAAAAGAGAACATATTTTGGTGTAAATGTCTTGGGACTAAGTAGATATAAGTACCTACTTCCGTATGGATGTCTAAAAAATTCTACAGCATGCAAAATCGTTAGTTTTCATTTCCTCTTGTTATCTTCAAAACCTCAAAATGTTTACATCTCCATCCCAAGTCAAGCTTTGTGGAAACTCAAGGAGTCAGGCATGAGTGATCGCATACAAACAAGGAACCATGCGATGGTCCCCAGTGGACTCTTTGGGACAAATGACTATGGACTCAGTTCATCTATCTATGAAGAGAGGGTAATGATCAGTCCACCAAACTACTATGCTACTGCTAAGCTCCTATGAGAACATAAACTCACATATCAGGAAACTACACAAATATTTTTGAAATTGTGGATTTAAGGATAAAACATTCAGTCTGATTTCAGTGCTAGAAACTGGAAGGGAAGACATCATTCTGTTTGCTGATGACTTTTTCTTGCAAACCCCAAGCCTTTCTGCCCCGGGTCTATACCAGGCCAGGCAGGCAGACAGGGTGTGGGGCTAGTGAGAGTCAGGAGTGGTTTATGCCCCTAGGACACATCTTCCAACAGGAACTTCTGGCAACTGCTGGATGAACAGCACAGCTTCCTCACCTGGGTGGGACCATTCTGACACTGGATCTATAAAATCCTCCCCTGGGCCCCATTGGAAGGGAGTGTGTGGGTCCATAGCAACAACACTCTCATTTACGTGCCCTCTTTCTACTTCCTTCCCTTCCCTGTTTCCTATCCCTTCCAGGTGCTTCCTGGATCACCGCCCAATTCAAATTCCCACTCAGAGTCTGCTTCTGCAAGAACCCATCTAAGACTGTTTCCATAGGCAACAGCATCCATACTTTTGGAAAATTCCTTCCTATAAGGAATAGTTGAATTTAATTTTTTGTCATTATTTTAGAAAGATATTTGGAAATATGAGAGGAAAAACCACTTCCTCCCTTCCTTCATTTCCTCTCTTTCTGGCTTTTTCTGGAGGTCACAGACCCTCCAAATTCCAGGCTCTAGAGCTGGAATAACAGAAATCTAATGTGAGTCACAAATTCAAGCCATGAGTTACATTTTCTAGTAATCACATTTTTTGAAGTAGAAATAAGTGAAGGTAGTCTTAATATCATTTCAATGTATAATACAGTAATAATTCCATTCATGAATGCTTCTGTTAGTGAATAAAGAACAGAAACGTCTGGCAAAATTCTCCTATCGTTTCCGAACTCCACATGGGGTGAGGAACATGGGTGAGGGTGAGGAACAAAGGGGCATCATCCTCTCACAAACACAAATGTGTTGTGTCTCCCCAAAGAGTGGAACAAATTAAGTTCATGAACTGAGGTACCACTGTAAATATCTGAAAATAGGTGAGCTATTTTCCATTCTTTCTATTTATTTTTTACGTCTTTGGAATATGACGTGTGTGTCACGCTTATAATACACTGAACTCACACAATCTACATGTGGCTAGGAACCACCATATTGAACAGGTATGCGCTTGGGTTTAGAATAGGAGTCAGCAAAAGCTTCTGTAAAAAGCCATGCAGCAAATATTTTCAGCTTTCTTGGCTTTGTGCTCTAAGTCACTGCAATTCAATTCTGTTGCGATTTCACATTTTAAAAAGCCATAGACATTATGCAAATGAATGGGCAGGGTTGTGTTGCAATAAA